CTCCCGTTCCCAGGGCTGTTCTGGAAAGAGCTGGTTGACACGACTCAGCCCTCTCCTCCTTTTCCTCCCGCTTCTGCATGCATTCCCGGTCCTGGGTTCCTTCTGCACTGAGGTTTGGCAGCAGACGTGCCTGTCTGTGACAGTTAACCTCAAAGCCACTTCCGGGATGGACAGTGGGCATCCTTGTGGGGGCTGGTGGACGATCAACTGTGTTTCTCGACTTGGGCTGTGATTTGAGCCTGGCAGAAACACCCTCACACCCCACCTTCCTTTTTCTTGCTAGAAAGCAGACCCTGGGGCTAGGCACCTGTACAAACTCTGTGTCCACCCCAGATCATGAGCTGGGAGCCCTTGGGGTCCGCAAAAAAAAAAAAAAAACCAGTGAATTTCCAGCATGTATTGATTTCATGGTTTTGCCCCAGATCTGACCTATCTCAGGAATACCTGCGGGTCTGACAACGCGGGTCGGTGCCCCTGCCCACCAGCAGTGACTGGAATGGACTCGGTGCTGCCTGGCTGGTTTGGGGACCCCACTCTGCCAACGTCGCCTCCTTTTCTGACGTCCCACGGGCAATTGTCCGTCCTGGCCTCCCATCGGGCGTGCATGCGCTGACTGCCCACTCACATCCGAGGGAGGCTTCCTATGCCTGGCCCCCAGGGGCTCGAGCCTGGGAACCATCTTGTCTGGACTTGCAAGTTGGATGTCATCTGACCCAGGCGGGGCTGGAGCACACGTGGGCCACATCGGCTCTGTGCCAGGGCTCCGCCTGGGGCTTCACACCCAGTTTCCAGATACCAGCGCTGAGGCCGGCCCTACAATCACGCGCCACTCATCTGTCTCTCCATTCGTTCATTTATCCCTCACTCGTGTACTCGCCCACGCAGCCAGCCGTTCCTCATTCATTCGGCCATCTATCCATCCGCTTGGCCCTCACCCATGCCTGCACTGCCTGGAAGCCCGCGGGCCTTCCGGGAGGATGCGGGCTGGTGCACCGTGGCAGGCGCTCCTCCCGTGTGGGAGGAGCCGTGGCAGCACGTGCGCCCACCTGGAGCCATGCCTCCAGGGACTCGCCCACCTCGCCTTGCGCCTTGCCGCCCACGGCCCGGGGACGCCTCATCAGGGATCGCCCCCGCCTGTGGACACGATGCTGCCCCACCCGTCGTCGTTCGAAATCGTCTTTCTCTTGGACCCTGCTGGGTTGGGAAGCAGAGCGGGCAGAGGGGGATGGGGAGGAACGTGTCTCATGGGAGCCAAAGCTGCTCTGACCTCCCCTGCCTCTGTTAGCGTGGAGAGAAGCCGCCGGAACCTTGGAGTAGCAAAACTCGATGCTGGGAGCCACAGTGCCACTCGACATTAATTGCTGATCCGCCCACCCATCTGTCCTTCCATTGTCCATCATTTATCCACTTAGCCATTCACTCGCCCAGGCAACCGTCCAACCAACCATCCATCCATCCATCCATCCATCCAGTGTCCATCCACTCGCCCACCAGCCAATCACTCACCACGCACCCATCCGTCTGTCTGTCCATCCACCCGTTTATCCGTCCTCCACTCACCCGTGCAGTCAACCACTCGTCCGTCCACCCACCCGTCCATTTATCCGTCATCCACCCACTCGCCCATCCAGCCCACTACTCATCTCTCCTCCGTTCTTCCATCCACGTATCCATCCCGCCATCGTCCATCCACTCACCTGTCCACCAGGCAATCATCCATCACACATCCCTCCATCCCTTTAGCTATCATCCACCCACTGAGCCAACCACCCATCCACTTATCCACCCATTTATTCGCAATCCATCCACTCACCCATCCCATGTCCTTCGTGACCTCTCAGGTAGTCAATGCCACAGCACTCCTGCTGTCCCAGTCAGTGCAGGATATAGACCCTTAGCCAGAGGGGAAAGCGTGGTTGCCAGGTGGGCAAGGTGGGCCCAAGGGGTGGAGCCTGTGGTTTTTCAAGAGAAGACTAAAATCCAGATGTTCGTGTGAAATCCCTGGGTGTTCAGGAGTTCTATAAAGGCCGCTCCCATTTGAGGGACTAGATGGCAAGAAATGGGCCGTTCTTTTTTTTTTTTTTCCCCTCTGCTTGCTCGATCATGTGTGCTTTGGGGAGGATCCGAGTCAGAGAACTGGAATATTCTCAACCTCCCCCTTCCCCCCACAGCAGGTCACAAGTCCCCAGGAGAATATAAAGCAGGGAATTGTGTCAGATAGAAGGACGTGGCCACAGTGTCTGGGTGTGTGCCCATGGCTGGTACCAGCCTGTAGACATGAGCTGATGCTACTCTGAGGGTGATGAGGATGAGAGGAAGTCATATGGGTCAAGCTGGACCTCAGTACACAGCCTACAAAGGAGGGGTGTGTGCTAGAGGATAAAGCCACACCCCACCCTGCGGGGGTTACTGGTGGGTGGTTAACGCACAGTAAATATATCTTAATGTATAGTGGAGACTAAGGAGAAGGTTAAGCTCTTGTGTTTTGATAACCACTAATGCTATTGTTGTCCCCACTTCCCACTCATGTGACTTCTTGGCAGCAGACTTATATCTTGCATTAGGAAGAGTCTTTTAGGGATCTTGCTTGTCAGGTCCTCCCTTCTTCCCTCCCTCCCTCCCATCTACTCAGCTACCCACCCATCCAACCATTTATCA